CGGGGACCCCAGAAACCGGTGACCCCTGCCCGGGGACCCCAGAAACCAGTGACCCCATAAAGCGGTGCCGCCCTGCCCAGTGACCCCATAAACCGGTGCCCCCCCCGCCCGGTGACCCCATAAACAGGTGCCCCCCCCGCCCGGTGACCCCATAAACCGGTGACCCCATAAACCGGTGCGCCCCCGCCCGCCGCCCCCCTCCGCACTCACTGGAGCAGATGAGCGCCATGGTGGCCCGCGGCAGCTGCGGCCCCGCTCCCGGTTCCGGTTTCCCGCTCCCGGTTCCCCGTTGGCGCGCGCGGCCCCCAAGCGCTCACGCGGCCCCCGCCCCCCGGAACCGGAAGTGCTCCCGGCATCCCCCGCGCAGCCCCCCCCCAGCCTCCGGCGGGAACGGCGCTTTCCGCTCCCCCTTTTATTGCCATGGCGACCGACTACAACTCCCGCCGTGCATTGCGGTGGCACGGCGACTACAGCCCCCGGCGTGCCCCGCGGCGGACCGAGGACTACAGCTCCCGGCGTGCTCCGCGGCGGCTCGGGGACTACAGCTCCCAGCGTGCCCCGCGGCGGCGGCGCGGAGTAGCCCCCGGTGAGGGGGGGGGTCGGGGGGGGATCGCGGCGTGGGGGGGAAATAGAGGGAAATCGGAGGAAATTTGGGGGGATACAGGGGGATACGGGGGGTGTGGGCCCAGTGGAAGGAGAGCGGAGTGGAGGGAGAGCGGTGGGGGATCCTGGGGGGATTCTGGGGGATCGGGGGGGTTGTGGGGGGAGTGGGGGGAGTTGAGGGGAAGGGGGGGGAGCTGTGGGTCGGGGGGTCTAGGGGGATCCTGGAGGGATCAGAGGGATCGCGGAGGGTGGGGACACCTGGGCGGGGTGGGCACGGGGGGGGATTGGGGGATCCAGGGGGGATTGGGGGGATCCAAGGGGGGAGGGAATTGGGGGGATCCTACTGGGGGCACTGGGAGAATCGGGGGGTTGGGGGGAACTGGGCGCGGTGGGGGGGGAATTGGGATGGGGTGGTCACAGGGGGGATTTGAGGGGATCCAGGGGGGACTGGGGGGAACTGAGGAATGGTGGGTACAGGGGGGATTTGGGGTTCCAGGGGGCACTGGGGGGGATCCAGGGGGGATTGAGGGGACCCCAAGGAGTGGATGGAACAGGAGGGGGTGGGCACAAGGGGGATTTGGGGTATCCAGGGGGAACTGGGGGGATTAGGGAGGACTGGGGTGCACAGGGGGTCTTTGTAGGGGGCAGTGATGGCCATGCCCTACTCCAAAGTTCCCCACTCCTTCCTTTGGGAAGAGGGTGCTGAGTGCCCCCCCCTTCCCCAGCCAGGCCCGGTGCCCTTGGCTGTGTCCCGCTGACTCCCAGCCATCCCAAAAATAGCCGGGACACCCAGGCCTGTGCCTGGAAGGCGAGGGGGGAGGACAGAGCTCTGGGGCCTCCGCTCTCCCCTCCTGCTCAGGGGGACCCCAAACCCAGCAGGATGACCCCAAAACCAGCCCCTCTTGGCTCCCCCTCTCCCCACAGATCCCGAGATCCAGGATGGCCAGTGCTGGGGGGCTCCGGGCCCTGCTGGTCCTGCTCCTGTGGGCCCCATTCCTGGTGGGATCGGCAGCGGATGAAGCCAAGGGTGGCCCGGAGGGATTCCGGGGACACTCCAGCACTGCCACCATGGATGATCTGCTGTCCCGGCTGGGAAAAGCCTCCTGGGATACCCTGGAGGGCTGGGTGGGATCCCAAGCCCTGCAGATGGTGGCAGAGGTGAGATCCCCATCCCTAAATTTTCCCCTGGATCCCCTCCAGGAGGGACATAGAGGGCTGTGTTCCCCCTTTTCCCAGGATAATGGTGGGATCCTGACCCCCCAAACCTTCCCTGGAGCCTCCCATGGAGGGACCTGGGGGGCTGTGTCCCCTTTTCCCACGGCTGGTGACAATGGGAAGGTCCCAGTCCCTAAATTTGCCCTGGATCCCCTCCAGGAGGAAAACAGGGGTCTGTGTCCCCTTTTCCCCTGGCTAGTGACAACAGGAAGGTCCCAATCCCTAAAGTTTCCCTGGAGCCTGTCCTGGAGGAACGCAGTGATCTGTGCCCCCTTTTCCTGCTCCCCCATCCCCATTTTTCCCCACAGAGCCTCTCCACCACCCTCTGGATTGTTTCCTCTGGAATCTCAGCAGCCCTGACCACGCTCTGCGGGATCCTGGCGGATCTCCTGGCCGCTTCCAGCATCGGCGGTGAGTTGGGATCATCCCACGGGATGACTCCGGCCCCCATTCCCGGTGCCTCCGGTGACTCCCGTCTCCCATTCCCAGGCCACCGGCTGGTGCGAGCGGCCGCGCTGAGCCCCGGAGAAGTCCAGCGGGTTCTCCTGTGGGCTCTGGCTGCCCTGCTGGGATCCTGGGTGTTATCCCGGCTCCGGGGGCTGCTGCTCCCACTGCTCCAGGGAGTGAAGCTTTTCCTCTTCCTCGGAGCCTTCCTCCACGTGGCCGCTTCCAAAGAGAGCCCCACGGTGCAGGCGGGAATGCTGCTGGCCCTGTGGGTGCTCTACGCCCTCCTGGGGAGCCTAGTGGGATCCCAGAATCCCACTGCCCGGCTGGATGCGGCCGTCAGGAGCCTGGAGTGGAAGGTGGAGGAGCTGCGGCGGCGCCAGAAGTTTGGGGGGCCCCGGAACCGGGAGGATTGACCCCCCCCCACATACACACCACCAAAGCACTTCCCAGCTTGGCTCCGGAATTCCAAGCATGTCTTCCCCGCCCCTGCTGAGCCCCCCAGTTTTCCTGGGAGCATCCCTTCCCAGAACTGGGGGGCCATGCCTTGCAAGTGCCACAAGTGCCTTCACCCCAGGGAGGGGGGTCCCCGAGAGCCTCCCCCGGGAGCCCAAATCCAGGAGAGGAGCTCCCCCATTCCCTGCTCCACGGGGACATTGTGCCAATCTGGCCCAAAAGGGGAGCTCTGCTCGTCTGGGGGGGGGCTGACACCCCCCCCGGGGACCCCCCCACTGTCAATCCTCGGGGTTTCAGCTGCTTTTTAAACGGTTTTGATAAATGGTTTGGAATAAAGACGGGTTTTTCCGGCCTGGATCCACTGCTTTCCCGTGGGAAGGGGGTCCGGCTTGGAGCTGGGAGTGTGGGGGCTCCCCTGGAGGACCCACTTGGGGTGGGAAGGGAGGAGGAGGAGGAGGAGTGTGGGTTATTTGTGCCAGGATCCCACTGCCTTCCAGTTATTCCTGCTGTAATTCCCACTCACTCCGTGCTCCTGGCCACGTCTGTTCTGGTCCTTCCCGTGTTCCTGGTGTCCCACAGTGTTTCCAAGTGTCCCTGGTTGGGGTGGGACAGGGAAGGATGGATAACAGCACCATCCCACCCTGGTCCAGGGAGTCCAGTGCTGGGTGGGGATGGGAATGGGATGGGGAGTGGGGAATAGGGAAAGGATGGGATGAGGATGAAAATGGGGAGGAGATGAGGATGAGGATGGGGCTGGGGAGCAGGGCTGGGAATGGGAATGGGGATGGGGAACAGGGCTGGGAATGGGGACTGAGGATTGGGCTTGGAATGGGATGGGGAACAGGGCTGGAGATGGAGAGTGGAATGGGGAACAAGGCTGGGAATGGGGACTGGGGATTGGGCTTGGAGTGGGATGGGGAACAGGGCTGGGGCTGGGGAGCAGGATGGGGAGCAGGGCTGGGAATGGGGAGCAGGGCTGGGTATGGGGAGCAGGGCCAGGAAGGGGAGCAGGGCTGGGAATGGGAAGCAGGGCTGGGAATGGGAGCAGGGCTGGGAATGGGGAGCAGGGCTGGGAATGGGGAGCAGGTCGGGAATGGGAGCAGGGCTGGGAATGGGAGCGGGCTGTGCCTGGCGCCGGGCACGCCGGTGTTTAGGACCCGGCGGGACGAGGCGGCGCCGGTGCCGGTCCCGCCCCGGCCCCATTGTCTGGGCGCGGGGGCGGAGGGACGGGAGGCAGCGGCGGAGCCACGGCAGGGACCGGCGGCACCGGCGGCACCGGCGGCCCCACCGAGCCCCCCGGCCATGGCCCCGGGGCCCCGCCTGGCGCTGCTGGCGGTCGCCCTGCTCTGCGCCCCGGGTGAGTGGGAATGGCACCGGGAATGGGAATGGGAACGGCACCGGGATCCCCCCCGCCGCCGCGCTGGGATCCGCTCCCGCGTGGTCCCGCGATCCGGGGCGATCCCCCCCTTCCCCGCGTTCGGGATCCCCCCCCGTTCCGCAGGGATTCGCCCCCCCCCCCCCCCCCCCCCGCATTCGGGCCCCCCGGGATCCGCTCCCGCCGGGATCACGAGAACCGGGAAGACCTGACCCCCCCCCCCCGCGCCTTCCCCGCGATCCGCGCCCCCCATTCCACGGGGATCCGCGCCCCCTCCACCGCCCGGGATCCCGAGCGGATCCCCCGGGAAACGTGGGATCCGCTGTGATCTCGAGGGGGAATCTCCTCGCAATCCCCGCGGGATCCCCGCAGCCCGAGGCGATCCCCTTCCCCCGGGATCCGCCTCGCCTCTCCTCCCGGGTGGGATCGCGTGAGATCTGTTCCCGGCCGCGGGATCCAGGGTATCCAGGTGCCCGGGTATCCAGGTGGGATCTGCTCCCTGTGATCTGGGCAACCCGAATGGATCACACCTTGTGGGACCTGGTCCTGTCCCTCTCCCCACCTGGGTTGGATCCCCACAGGGCTGGAGGAACCGGGGGGCCCCCCTAGTGCTGATCCCCCCAGAGTGACCCCTCCTCACATCCCCAAATCCCTGTCCCCCAGTGCTGACCCCCAGCACTGATGCAGGGACAGGGTAGCTTTGGAATGGGGTGACCCTGGTGTGGAATAACCCTGGGATAGGGTGACTTTGGAATGGAGTGACCCAGGGATTGGATAAACCTGGCATAGAGTGACCCTGGCATGGGGTGACCCTGGAATGGGGTGACCCTGGAATGGGGTGACTTTGAAATGGGGTGACTCTGGGATGGGCTAACCTTGGGATGGAATAACCCTTAGATAGGGTGACCCTGAGATAGGATAACCCTGGGATGGGGTGACTCTGGAATGTGGTGGCCCTGGGATGGGGTGACCCTGGGATAGGATAACCCTGGGATGGGCTGACTCTGGAATGTGGTGGCCCTGTGTGGTGCCACACAGGTGGGCCCAGAGGCCCCACTTGCCCCCCGTGCCCCCGGTGCCGGTGACACAGCCCTGTCCTCGCAGTGAGGGGTGACGGGGACCCCCCGGATCCCGTGTTCCTGCCGGCGGAGCTGGAAGTTCTGGGGGTTCCCGAATATTACCGGCTGCAGCGGGTGGACCAGGACGTGCCCCCCAACTCCTCCCTGCACTCCCGCTCCGAGACATTCCTGCTGCTCCGGCACCGCGCCGGCTCCCAGGCCCTGCTCCAGGCCACCTACCCCCCCTTCAGCACCCGCCAGGTAAACGAGACCCCCGGAGCCCCCCGGACCATCCTGCGGTATCCCGGCCCCCCGACACCGTCCCTGTGTCCCTGCAGGAGATTCTCATGGAGAGCCCACCCGGCTCGGCGTCCTGGGCCGTCCGCGCCGTGTCCCTGGAGAGCTCCGTGTCCCCTGCCGAGCCTGTGGCTCGCGTCCTCTTCTATCTGCACGGGCCCGACTGGATGCCTGGGAAGCGGGATCACCTCGAGGTTCGGGACCACCCCGGGGTTCAGGATCATGCCAGGGAGCGGGACCACCCTGAGCAGCGGGACCACCCTGGAGACCGAGACCACCTGCGGCTCCGGGAACATCCTGGGGTCCGGGATCACTCCAAGGTCCAGGATCACCCCAGGAACCAGGACCACCCTGGGAACCAGGAGTCCCTCAGGAAACAAGACCACCCTGGAGTCCGGGATCATCCCAGAGACTGGGATCACCCCAGGGACAGAGACCACCCCAGGGACTGGGACCACCCTGGGGTCCGGGATCACCCCGGCACCTGGAACCAACGCACACAGCAGGACCACCCCCCGAAGGACCGGAATCCCCAGAAAGACTGGGATCACCCCGGGGCTCAGGAGCTGCCCTGCGTCACCCTGCACGCCCACCACCGCGGGCGGGTGGCCCGGGGCTCCTGTCACCTGCAGGTCAGTGCCAACCCTGGGGACCCTCGGGGGGTGCCCGCCGCCCCCCGCCCCCACTGACCCCCCACCCCCCCTTCTCCAGGCCCCCCTGGGCGTCTGCGTGGTGGAGCTGGAGATCCCCCAGCGCTGGTTCCTCCCGGGACCCCAGCGGAGCCGGCGGAAGGACGGGGACACCCCGCACCCCCCCGAGCCCCCAGAGAGCCCCAGGAGCCCCGAGGCGGCTGAGCTGCGCTACAGCGTGGGGGGTCCGGGGCACTGTGGGAAGGGGGACGCGCCGCGGTTCCTGGGGACGCTGGAGCTGCGGGCGGGGGAGCCAGAGCGGCGGCAGGAGGTGCAGCTGGACGACAAGGTCCTGCTGGGCGTCCCCGACGCCACCCTGCGCCCCGGGCAGAGGTTCAGGGCCACCGTCGCCCTGAGGAACAACTTCACCGCCCACGCCCTGACCCTGCGGTGAGAGAGGGGACACCGCGGGGGGGCACGGCCGGGAGGGGACACCGGGGCAGGGGGGACACTGTGACAGTGTTGGATACTGTGGGACACTGTGTGTGACACTGTGACAGTGTGGGACACTGTGACAGTGTGGGACACTGTGTGATGGCGTGTGACACTGTGTGGGACACTGTGGGACACTGTGTGTGACACTGTGACAGTGTGACTGTGTGACACTGACACTGGGACACTGTGTGACAACATGTGACACTGTGTGTGACACTGTGTGTGACACTGTGACAATGTGACTGTGTGACGCTGACACTGGGACAGTATGGGACAGTGTGAGACACTGTGTGTGACGCTGTGACAGTGTGACTGTGTGACAGCGACACTGTGACACTGTGTGACAACATGTGACACTGTGTGTGACACTGTGACAGTGTGTGTGACAATGTGTGACAATGTGTGACTGTATTTGACAGTGTGTGACTGTGTGACACTGACATCGTGACAGTGTGTGCATGACACTGTGACACCATGATTGTGCATGACACCGTGTGTGTGACAGTGTGTGACACTGTGACAGTGTATGTGACAGTGTGTGACACTGACACCGTGACAGTGTGTGGCACCGTGTGACACTGTGACACCGTGACTGTGCATGACAGTGTGCGTGACAGTGTGTGACAGTGTGTGACAGTGTGTGACACTGTGTGACACTGTGTGACAGTGTGTGACAGCATGTGACACTGTGTGACTGTGTGACAGTGTGTGGCACTGTGTGACAGCGTGTGACACTGTGTGACACTGTGACTGTGTGACAGTGTGTGACACTGTGTGGCACTGTGTGACACTGACACCGTCACTGTGCATGACAGTGTGTGTGTGACAGCATGTGACACTGTGTGACACTGTGACATGGGATCCTCCCCAGGATCAAGGCCAAGAAGGGGCTGCAGGTGGTGGCCGCCCATCCCGCCATTCCCAGCGCCTGGAGCGCCCACCTGGAGCATTCCCGTGGCCCCAAGCACTCCCTGGCCGTGGTGACATGCCGGCGGATTGGGGACACCCCTGGCAGCGGGAGGTAGGGGCTGGCACAGCGTGTGGCACTGCCCTCTCCCAGTGTGTCCCAGTGGGGTCCCAGAGCCCTCATCCCTTGCCCCGCCCCATCCCAGTCCATCCCACCTGGGTCCCAGTGATCCCGATCCCGGCGTGGATCCACAGGGTATCCGACTCGGCGGCGTTCCTGCACCTGGAGCTGGTGGTGGAGAACGGGACTGGAGGCCCGGCACGGCCTCTCACCTGGCAGGTGGAGTATCCCGGCCAGGATCCTGAATCCCAGAAGGACAAACTGGTGTGGGAGATCCAGGTGGCGGAGCGGGAAATCCGCGCCCTTGTCCCGCTGGTCCAGGTGGGAGCCGCTCCCTCCGTCCCCCCCCCCGTCCCATGGGAGCACCGGCTCATCCCCCCTGTCCCGCCAGGAGCTGGAGATCCTGAACACGGCCCCGCTGACGGGAATCCCGCGGGTCATCCCGGTGAAACTGGTGGCTGTGGAAGCGGGAGGCGGCGTGTCTGAGCTGGCCGATCCTGTGGGATGCGAGTCGGCCGACAAACAGGTGCTGCAGGTGAGCTTCCTCCCGGCACTCCCGCCGCATCCCACCCCACCTCACCCACCGGATCCCCGTCCCTTGGCATCGCCCGTGCTCTTCCAGGTGTCGGATTCCTGCGACGCCGTGTTCGTGGGGGGCCGGGAGAGCCGGGGGGCACGAGGGGCCCGCGTGGATTTCTGGGCACGGCGGCTGCACGCCGAGCTCACCTTCTCCGTGTGGGCCCCGCTGCTCCCGCTGCGCGTCCAGCTGGGAGACCCCGCCCTGGAGCAGCTCCGCGGCTGGAGGCGGCCCGAGAATCCTGATGGGTGAGTGCCGTTCCCGGGGGGAGCACCCGGAACCGTCCCTGTGTCACCGGGATGGCGGGAAAGGGGCGAGGTGGGAGCAGGGTGGGGGAGACCTGAGGCGCTTGTGACATGAGTGGCTGAGACCAGACGCACTCATGACATGTGTCCCCATCCCTCTGAGCCCTGTGACACTTGTGACAGGTGTGACACATGTCCCCTGCCCTCTGAGCCCTGTCACACTCATGACACTTGTGGCTGAGCCCTGCGACACTCGTGACATGTGTCCCTGTCCTCTCTGAGCCCTGTGACACTTGTGGCACGTGTGGCTGAGCCCGGTGACACTCGTGACGTGTGTTCCTGTCCCCTGAGCTCTGTGACACTTGTGACCTGTGTCCCTGCCCTTCTGAGGCCCCACACACTCCCATGTCCTGGGATTCCTGTCCCCCTGCCCTGGGATCCCTGTCACCTTGTCCCGGGATTCCCATCACCCTGTCCCGCGATCCCTGTCACCCATCCCACGACCCCTGCCACCTATCCCATGATCCCTGTACCCCTGTCCTGCAATCCCCATCCCCGTGCCCCAGGATCCCTGTCACCCTTCCGGAGATCCCTGTCACCTTGTCCTGGGATCCCCATCACCCTGTCCCAGGATCCCTGTCACCTTGTCCCAGGATCCCCAATCACCCTGTCCCGCGATCCCGGTCACCCATCCCATGATCCCTGTACCCCTGTCCTGCAGTCCCTTTCCCCGTGCCCCAGGATCCCTGTCACCTTTCCGGAGATACCTGTCACCCTGTCCCAGGATCCCTGTCACCTTGTCCTGGGATTCCTATCACCCTGTCCTGCGATCCCTAGCCCCTATCCCGTGATCCCTGGCCCCTTATCCCGTGATTCCCATCTCCCAGCTCCCCGATGGAGGCCGAGGAGGCGCCGGAGGAGCCGGAGCGGCGGGCGCGGAGCTGCCGCCCGCAGTTCCAGCGCACGGGGCTCCGTGTCCTGGCCCACTTCGTGTCCCACCCGCCGGACGGGGGCCGCTCCCTGTCCTACCTGCCCGGCCCCGAGTGGCTCCTGGACGTCACCCACCTGGTGGCCCCCCGGACCCGCGTGCAGGACCCCCGGGTGGCCTCGCTGGAGGGGGGGGCTCGTGGTGGTGGGCCGGGAGCCCGGGGTCACCTCCGTGGAGGTACAGCAGGGGCAGGGAGAGGGAAATGAGGGGGTGGAGGGGGGGGCCTGGGATGAGCTGGGGCTGCAGAGATGAAGGTGTGGGGCTGGAGGGCATCCTGGGGGGACAGGAACTAAGGAGGAGGTACCGGGGGGGGGGTCCTGGGAGGAGCTGGAGGGGTGCAGGGTCTGGGAAAATGGAGATAAGGGGCTAGAGAGGATCGTGGGGTCAGTTTGGGGGGTCCTGGGGGGAATCTTGGGGGTGTTGGTGCCGGGGAAATGCAGGTGGAGGAGCTGGAGGGGCCCCGGGGGCAGAGGGGAGGAAAGTGAGGGGGCGAAGTGTCGACTTGGGGGATCGTGGGGGGAGCTGAGGGGCGTTGGGATGGAGGGAATGGAAACGGGGGGCTGGAGGGGGTGCTGGGCACAGGGGGAGGGAAATGAGGGGACGAATGGAGGTCCTGGGGAGAGTCTGGGGGGTCCTGGGGAGTGTGGGGGCTGGAGAGATGGAGATGAGGGGGCTGGAGAAGGTCTTGGGGGGAGTCTGGGAGGTCCTGGGTGAGACTGGGGGTGTTGGGACTGCAGAGATGGAGATTGGGGGGTTGGAGGGGGTCTCAGGGAGCTGAAGGGGGGTCCTTGGTTGGGATTTTGGGAGTGTTGGCACTGGGCAGATGGAAACAGGGGGCTGGAGGGGGTCCTGAAGGCAGAGGGGAGCTGGAGGAGTGCAGGGACTGAAGGGAGGGGGGGAGCTGGTGGGCTAGGAGGGACCCCAGAGGGAGCAGGGTGGGATGCAAGGGCCCGGAGGGAGGGAACTGGGGTGTCCAGGGGTGGGAAGGGACACAATGGCCACGAGGGGTATTGGGGGAGGGTCTCACAACCCCCCCGGCTCCACCCCCACCCAGGTGCGCTCCCCGCTCTCCGACTCCATCCTCGGGGAGCAGACGCTGGTGGTGTCCGAGGACAAGGTGACAGTGACGGAGCTCCGTGCCCAGGTGGTGGCAGGGCTCTCCTTGTCCCTCCGGACACACCCGGAGCACCCCGGCGTGGTCACCGTCACCGCCCTGGGGACACCCACCCTGCGCGCCCTCAAGCAGGTGAGGTGGGCCGGGGGGAGGGGGTTCCCGGCGTTCCCTAAATCCCACGATCCGCTGCCATCCCGCCCGTTATCCCGGCAGGAGGCCACGCTGTCCGTCTGGCTGTCCTTCTCCGACCGCACGCTGGCCCCGCTGGAGCTCTACGGGTGGCACGACGTGGCCTTGGCCGTGACGTCCATGGATCGCTCCGTCGCCACCGTCGGGGGGTCTCCCGGCGTTCCCGCTTCCCACCCGTGGGTGGTGGCGGAGGGGCCGGGCCGGGGGGCTCTGCTCCAGCTCGCCCTGCACCCCCCGGACCCGTGCCGGCGCGGCCGGCAGCGCGCGGCCCCGCTGGCCACCGGCACCGCCTGGCTCGAGGTGGGACACCCCCCGACCCCCGGGAGCCCCCGGCCCTTCCCGCGGGCCGAGGGGGCCATGTCCCGGGAAGCGGTGACCGTGGGGCGCGGGGGGGACCCCGCGGGCGTGGGGCCGGCGGCCACCAAGTTCCAGGGATCCTCCTCGGAGGAGGAAGAGGAGGAAGGAGGTTACGGACGCAACCGCGCAGAGGGGGAGCGGCAGGAGGAGGAGGAGGAGGAGGAGATGGTGAAGGCTCCGGAGCGGGTGACCGACCTGGAGATCGGGATGTACGTCCTGCTGGGAGTGTTCTGCCTCGCCATCTTCATCTTCCTCGTCAACTGCATCTTCTTCGTGCTGCGCTACCAGCAGAAGGAGCTGCCCGAGCCGGGCGGGGCCCCCGCGGCCCCGCAGCCCCACAACTGGGTCTGGCTGGGCACCGACCAGGAGGAGCTGAGCCGGCAGCTGGATCGCCGGGAGCCGCCGCGCCGGGAGCCGGAGCCGCCGGGTGCGGGGTGCGGCTGCGGGGGCTCGGCCGAGGACGGGGCTCCCCCCGAGCCGCCCGTGCCCCGCAAGGAAGGGGCGGCCCCGGGCGGGGGCGGCCGGAGGAAGCGGGTGGAATTCGTGACCTTCGGCCCCCCCCGCGCCCCCGAGGAGCCCCCCCCGGCCGCCCCCCACGTGCAGTCCATCCTGGTGGCCAGCGAGGACGACATCCGCTGGGTCTGCGAGGACATGGGGCTGCGGGATCCCGAGGAGCTCCGGAGCTACATGGAGAGGATCCGCGGCAGCTCCTGAGCCTGGGGAACCCCACGATTCCCGGGCAAACCAGTAAGGGACCGACTTCCTCCCCGTGCCGCGCCGGGGGGACACCGATCCCGGTCCCACGCGCGCCGGGAATCCCCAGCGACCCGACCGGGAGGCCGAAGGAAGGGCCTCCAGAGGTTTTGGGATCCCGGCGGCTCCGGGGAGGAATTTGGGATGCCCTTACTGCTTTGGGTCTCATTGCGACATGGTGTTCATAGTGCTGATGATGATGATGGTGGTGGTGATTCCTGTGGTCTGATCCCGGGGAGGGATCCTGGTTATCCCGCCCCCTCCCTCTCCAATCCCTTCACCCCGGCCACGCATCCGTTTTGTACACATTTTTTACCGGGAACGCCCGGGAAGGGGCTGCCAGGGGCTGGTATTTATGGAAAAGTTTTTAATTCTGACGTTGTTACAAAAATAAAGTATTTAAAAAAAAAAAAAAGGTGGGAATTCCCCCCTTGCTCCGTGTGGCATCTCCTCTGATCCCAATAATGGGTCCCATCCTGCTCCCATGGCAGTGCCAGGCTTCTAGGAGCGGGAATGTGCCCTTGACCTTGGATCCACGTGAGAGCTGGTCACGGGAATGGATCCTGGCCCTGGCCCAGCTGGGGTGACCTTGGGATAAGGGATAAGGGATCTCTTTCCTCCCTCTCCTGCCATCCTCCTCCTCCACCTTTCAGCCCCAACACCAGCCTGGTCCTGGGTCTTCTCCCACCTTGATCCGCCCAAATGTCCCCTCTGGAATTGGCCAGAGGAATTGATCCCCCTTTATTTGGGGTTACCATGGAAATTCCCACCCTTTTTCCAGCCTCCCAGCAATCCCAAGACACTCCCAAATCGCCCTGGATGGTAGCAGGAAACGCCTTCCTGCACCCCAGCACCCTGATCTTGGCTTCCCAAAGCTTCCCAAAGCTTCCCAAAACCCCACTGAGGTGGGGCAATCCCGGTCCTGCCCCTCCTTCAGGGCATCCCGGGTCTCCAGGTGTCCAATCGGATCCAAGCCCTCACCCACAGTGGGATCAAAATCTCCTGGAATGCCCCAGCTCCCACCTCATCCCTCCACCACCATGCCCATCCCATCCCTCTCCATGTATCCCTGGAGGGTCCTGGGGTGGTCCTGGATGTGCTGGAAGTTGCTTGGGATGCAGTGACTCCATCTGGAAGGCAGCGGGATGGTGGCTCCATGGGATCAACTCCTGGATGGATCAGATCCTGGATGGATCTACCACCACCTGTCTGGCATGGAGCCCATCCTGGAAGTAAAGCATCCAGGTTGGGACGAAGGGCAGGATCCCGGGCAGGATCCAGGAAGATCAGGATCCAGGCCCCATCCCAGCTCCCCTCCCAGCTTCCCTGAAAAGCATCCTGAAGTATTTGGAGCTGATCCATAGGGATGGGTGACACATTTGCGGGGCCCCCTCCCGTTGCACCCTGCAGGTATCTCCTCCCACCCACCTCATCCCTGAAAAAAGGGATGGAGCTCCAGCAGCCTGGAAGACCCCAAATCCCCCCACGCCATCCCAAATCTCCACCGGATCCGCTCTCCTCGGGGTGGGACCCCCAGGCCCGGGAGGTTCCTGAGCCCCGGGGGAGCTCCAGGGGCTCCGACACCCCGTTTCCTCCCCGCCGGCAGCAGGATGGGGCCACCCCAGCGCACCTCGTGATGCCAGCCCAGCTTCCTCCCCTCCGCCTCGATCCCGGAACCACCGGGGGAGCGAGACCTCCCTGCCCCGAGAGAGGGACCTCCAGACCCCCCCAGATCCCGGAATTCCACGGGCTTGCCCCGCCGGAGGGATGGGGGGGCTGTACCTGCTCGTGGTGGCTCTCTGCGCCGTGGAACCCGGACAAGGTACGTCGCCGTCCCCAGCCCGTCTCTTCCCAGCCTCTCATTTGGGAGTTTGGGGTGGTGGATCCATGGATTTTTGGGGTTGGGGACCTGCCACCTTCCCGGGATGGAGGTCCCAGGGCACAGATGCTCCGGTGGTGGCTCCGCAGCTCCTCCGACCCTCACTGTCCACTGGGAGCGAGGGAAGGGTTTCCCTGAAAGGCAATCCTAAGGATTGGGGTCTCCTCAGGATGAGGGACCCCTAAAACCACCCTGGGGACCCCAAAACCGGGATCCTAAGCCCCTAAAAGTGCTCTCGGAGCCGTCCCACTCGCCAGCCCTGTGGGATGCTCCAGGGCCAAATCCCATCCTGTCCCTCCTGTCACCCCTGGATGGTTTTGGGGTGCTATCCAGTCTTCCCCCCCCTCCCCAATCCCAGCAGGATTTGGGGTGCTTTGGGTTCTGAAATGGCTGCCAGGAGCTGCCTCAAGGCCTCGGATCGATCGGGGAACGGGCCCCTCACCCCCATTTCCGCTCCTCCTCTCGCCTCCACCCCCACAGAGCAGCTCATTCCCGCTTTTTCCCCTCATCCCTGAGCATTTCTTTGATCATTTGGACTCCAATCCATGCCCCACCAGCTCCCTGGGATCCCCACCCAACCAGCCCCCCCTGGAACAGGGAGAGACCCGTCACTCTTGGGGGATCCTTGACCCCACAAAAGCCAAAGGGGTAATTTTACTGGGAATAACCAGAGCATCCACTCACCTGTGGCTCTGGGATAGGTACAGCCCCTCTGTGTCCGCAGGGATGAGCCGGGAAGCGGGAGCAGACCAGATGAGTGAGAACGTCCCAAATTTCAGCAATTCCACCGGTGAGTCGTGTCCCAATATTCCCATAATTAAGGACAAAAATCTCCAAGTGGACCTCATACCAGGATTTAGCCCCAGGAAACCTCGTGGGGACAGATTTTTGGGATGCAGGAGTGCCGTGACCACGTGGGCTGGGGGAGGGTCCCACAGAGCCACCCACAACTGGGAGAATTCCCATATTTTGGGGGGATTGGGATGCACCGTTCCGTGTGCCCTCCCAGGGTGGCCACAGGGCCACGTCTTCCTGTTTTCCATCTGCTCCTTGCCAGGAAAACCGGGAAGGAGCCAAAAAAGTAGGGACTGCCCCCTTGAATCCTGCTGATCTTGCTCCGTGGGGATCTGGATCTGTGGGATCAGATTCCATATCTGTCATCCTCATATGCCACCATGTCACCTTAGAGGGATCATCATCCCCAAATTGGGAATCCTGGAGGACTCATTTCCTCATCCCTCTGTCCCTTCCTTCCCACAGCTCCCACAGAGCCAACAGGATCTCCCAGTATTCCAAGTGGGAACGCCTCGGTGACACCAGGTGAGTGCGGGAGGGCAAGGAACATCCTCAGGAGCACCCTTGCTCCCACTTTTTAGTGGGAAGGGGGCACTGGGAACATCACCCGGTCACCATTCCCGGTGTGTCTCCCAGATCCTGGAGCTCTCCGCTTGGCCGGCGGCCGGAGCCGGTGCGAGGGCCGCGTGGAGCTGGAAAAACAGGGAATATGGGGGACAGTGTGCGATGACGGATGGGACATTCCCGATGCCGACGTCGTGTGCCGGCAGCTCCGGTGCGGCCACGCCGTGAGCGTCCGCGGGAATTCCGCCTTCGGCCGCGGGCATGGCCCCATCCTCCGGGATGAGCTGGGATGCCACGGGCACGAGAGGCACCTCTGGGAATGTCCGGCCGCTCCGGAGCACGACTGCAGCCACAAGGAGGATGCCGGCGTGGTTTGCTCAGGTGGGTTTGGGAGCATCCCGGCTCCGGCAGGGAGGGATGCGGGAGACACATCCCCTTCCTTTCCCGCAGAGCACCAGGAGTGGCGGCTCTCCGGGGGCCGGGATGGCTGTGCCGGCAGGCTGGAGGTGTTTTTCCGCGGCACCTGGAGCACAGTGTGCGACAGCACCTGGTACGACCTGGAATCCGCAGTGCTGTGCCGCAGCCTGGGGTGCGGGATGCCGCTCCTGCGCCTTTCCTTCAGACACACGCTTCCCGGGAAGATGCTGTACGATTGCGGGAGCCTCCAGTCTTCCCTGGCACTCTGCCGCTGGACCTTCAACAAATCCGCTCCCTGCCACCAATCCCAGGCGGTCGGGGTGATCTGCAATGGTACGGGATCTTCCCACTGGGACTTGGGAGGGAATTCCTGACCCCCAGCATCCCCGTGATCTGATTTCTGTCCCCGTTCCCCTTTCCAGGCTCCCAGGGTTTGCTGGATCCAACCCCCACGGCCGCAGGGACAATGGGGAATGTCACCGTCCCACGGGGTGAGTGTCCTGCAATCCCTTCCTTCCCATTCCCTGGAGGAAGGATTTAGGTGGGAATGACTTGTGTCCATTCTCTGTCCCAGCCGAGGAAGGGTCTCCAACTGTAGGGACACAATTCCCGTGGGATAGTCTCCTCTTTATCCTGTGCCTGGTGCTGGGAATGCTGCTCCTGCTCTCCGTGCTGGCCTTTTCCGTCGCTCTGCTGAGGCTGAGGAAGAGGAGCAGTAAGGAATTCTGGACTCAGCGTGGAATTGGGGCACCCATCCCACTTTTTGGGCTCAGTTCAGCTTTTCATCCCCATTGTTCTCGCAGCCATGTGTTCCTTGGGAATAACCAACCCAGTCCTGGTGACCCACAGCTCCCAGAGCCCTGACGTGCCCTCCGGGATTCCCAATGACTACAGGGAGATTCCCGCCAGCCTTCCCAAAGGATCAGGTGGGTCTGGCAGGTCACCCCCCTGGGGATGTGGGGAAGGGGATCCCAGCTGATGGCACATCCCCCATCCCATTCTCATCCCCCAGACCCACTGGGCACAGCCTTTTCCAAGGATTCCACCTCCGATTCCGACTCGGAATACTACGATTTCAGCAGCAAGCCGCCCGTCGCCCTCTCCACCTTCTACAGTGAGCGTCCCATTCCCTCTGGAATTCCCCTCACCTTGCCCTAGGAACCCCTGTCACCCTGCCTGGGACCCCCATCCCCACGCTCCAGGATTCCCGTTCCCTTTTCCTGGGATCCCTGTCACCCAGGGGACTCCCACTGCTCTCCCCTTCCCAGACTCGCTGCGCCGGCATCCCGGGGAGCAGCTGCTCCCACCAAGGCCCAGCCAGGACAGGATGGAGCCATTCCCTGAGGATGGTATGGGACAAGGGGGGGGTCCATCCCATGGATAAGGGGGCGGCTCCTCCCTGTTCCTACACTGGATGTCCTTGTTCCCGTAGCACCGGCCAGGATGGGCCCCCCATTCCCTGGAAGGAAGAACAGCTCCTCCACCTCCTCCTCCTCCTCCTCCTCATCTACGAATCCCTATCGGAATGGCAACGTCCCCTCCCAGCACAGCTGCGGCACCGGTGGGCTCTGCCAGAGGGATGTGTGGGAGCAGGGATGGGGAGAGCCCTGGGAATGAGAACAGCAATGGAGAAACCTCAGGGGTGGGAATAAGGAAAGGAGAGATCCCAAAGGCAGGAATAAGGGCTGAGGACAGCCCTGGGAAGGGGAATGAGGGTGGGGGTACCCCAGGAATGGGACCAAGGATGGAGAGACTCCAGGGATGGGAGCAGGGATGTGAACAGGGATGGGTCCGACCCCAGGAAGGGAATGAGAGTGGGGGACCCCTGGGAATGGGAACAGGGATGGAGGGTCCCAGTAATCACCTGTTTCTCCCAGTTCCCCCAACAGCTCCCAGCATTCCCGCCCCAGTGCCCTCCCAGCCCTGGGTACCTCCATGTCCAGCAGATCCCGATCCCACCGGCAGCTCCAGCACCTCCTCAGGGGAGTGGTACGAGAACGTTGCGGGCACAGAGCCTACCGGAGACCCTTCCCAACATCCCGGTGAGGATCTCATGCTGGCGGGGGGTTATGGGAACTCTGGGATCCTCTGCTCCCAAATCCTGATGGGCTGTGTCCCTCCAGGTCAGATGGATCCCTCGGGACAGGATCCCGACTTCTCCGAGGGCAGTGACTATGACGACATCCAGGGAGCTGCCTACTGAGCCTTTTCCGCTGCTCCAGAGGGACACCTGGCCAAGGCCACTATCCCCTCTGGAATTCTCCAGCCATTCCCCTGTGCTGCCATTAAAAGCTTTTCCCACCGTGTTCCTTGTCCTTCTGTAGGAGTGACTCGTCACCATTCCCACAGCGGGGCTGGGCCACCAAGCGCTCCCAGTTGCCCACTGGGATGTCCAGATATCCCATTCCCAGCCTGCAGGAGCAAGGATGGGGGTGGCAGGGGCCCCACCCAGCTCTGGGAGTGGAAATTACACCCCAGGAATTGGGGATGTGGGAGGGTTTGGTGCCCCACAGTGTCCCCCCCACTCCCAGAGGTTCCCTGTATCCCGCTGGGACACAGTCCCCACCCCAGGGGGGCCCATAAATCCTGTCCAGGGGATGCTGGAAGGGAAGACACCCCAAAACCCACCGAATGACGCTCTCTGGGGGTGTCAGGGGCTCTCAAAAGGGGGATCACCTGCTCCAGCCTCCCGAGCTCCACCCACATCCCAGCGGGATGCTGGAGCCGAGCACACGAGGATTTGGGGTGGATACAGCACCCACCCATCACCCCAGAGCTGCGACCCCCCACCCCGGGGGACTCCCCCGCACCCCAAACCCCCCTTCCCACGGCCCGGCCGAGCCCCGCGGAGCGTCTCCAGCCCCGGCTTTCCGGCTGCCCCGAGGGGGAGGTCGGGGTTCATCCGCACCCCCCGCGGAAAAAGCGGCCCCCCCGCATCCTTCAGGTGTTCGCGGAGCGAGAGGCCCCGACAAAGGAGCCGCGACAACGGAGGAAATCCCAAAATAGCAGCAAAACCCCGACAAAGGGAGCGGGGCAGGCGGGGGCTGAGAGTGGGGCGGGCACAGGGGGCACGGGGGGGGGGAAACAGGGGCGTGGTGCCCCTGGCCCCTGTGCCAGTGGGGGGGACGGGCAGGACGGCACCGAGGACGTCGGGATCGCCGGGATCGTGGGGCGGTATCCATGACCTCAGGGGGGTTTGGTGCCCAGGGGTCCTAAAGCCCTGGGGGTCACCGATTCTCTGGGAGCGGGACAATCCAGCCCGTGGCCCCACAGGGAATGTGCCCCCTCCGCCCCCACAGCGGTGCCGACCCTTTATCCGAGCTGCTCCCGCCTGGAAAATCCCCATCTTTCCCGTTTTTCATTCTGATCCCAGCAGGTGCTGACGGCAGACAAGCCCGTCCCTGCTCACTCCAGAGGCAGCTCCTGCTTTTTAAAAGGCTCCTCACGGCAGGCGACGTGTCAGCACATCCCAAAATCCCCCCGGGAAGGGATTCTGAGCATCCCGAGCTGTCACAGGATGCTGAGCCGACTCCCGCTGCCAGCGGCGAGACGGATGCTCAATCCAATCCCAAATCCTGCCTGTGGGATTCCAGGGCCTCCAGAGCCAGCCAAGGCTCCCAGGGAAGGGCTGGATCCCAGGCATCCCATATCCATAGGGGTCACACACCGCTGGATAACGTGGGTCTTTCCTAGAGGCAAAGTATCCCAGGATATGGGGGGGGAATCACCAATTTCAGGTGGATTTGGGGGGATTTGGGGCCTGGATCCTGCACAAAGACCCCCCTGGCTGAGTCCTGTGGGAGCAGACCTGGAAATTACACCCTTTTTCCAGGGAATTTTCAAAGCTGAACTGGGTGGGGGCCAGCTCCAGGGTAGGACATCCCGACAGGGCTTGCTCCTGCCACAATCCCAGTCTGGGGGGGTCAGCAGGACCCCTGGGATAACTGGGATGGGGATGGGAACAAGCAGGGAGTTCAGGGAGCACCCAGAAAAGTCCCGGGGGAGCTGAGATCCTGCTCCAAGGTGGGGGATTGGAGTGGATTGAAGGGAAGGGAAGGGAAGGGAAGGGAAGGGAATTTCCATTATCCCATTCCCGCTCCCCAGGCACTCTCCTTCCAGCAGGAACACCACGGGATCAATGGAAAACAGCCGCCTCATTAACATGCATGACCTGGATTCGGAAGAATTAATTAGGGCCCAATCAATTAACGCCTCTGCCTCGCCCTGGTCCAGCCCTGCCAGGGCCCCACGTGCCCTTGCCGAGATATGGGGCATCCCTGGAATGCCAGAAACTGGGATGTGCCGGGATAAACCCTTCCCTCGTCCCGTTCCCGGGGGGTTTTACAGTGTTTCGGGTGGGCACCGGCCTCTCCTCAGCCCCGAGGGGTCGTGACCCCAAACATTCCCTCGGCACCAGATACATCCGCTGCCCCCTTCCAGAGATGTGGGAATCCTGGGATTTGGGGAGGGGGCTGAGCTCCCCCCCCGGGGTTTCTCCCCCCTTTTTTGGCGGGACCTGGGGAGGCAGCTGAGCCTCGAAACCGGCACGGCCGTGACGTCAGGAAACCACAGAGGGAGGAAAAACACCCGGTTCCTGCCCGGGCCCCCCTCCCTTGCCCGCTCCAGGCCGGGCAGCGGAGCCTCCGGAGCCTCCGGAGCCCCCCGTGCCCCCCATCCCACTGCTGGCACCCATGGAACCCCGGCTGCCCCCCCTGTGCCTCCTGCTCCTGCTGGGAACGTGGGGTGAGTGCTGGGGGTGCCCTGGGCTGGGGGCATCGCTCACATCCCGTGCTGGGATGTCCCGGTTTTCCCGCCCCGGGAATGTTCTGGGAGGGGATGGGCCCTGGGAGTTTGTGGGGCCACCCTGGGCGAGGCCCAGCCGGGGGGGCTCAGGGTGGGGAGGGGGTTTGAGGGGGACAAAACCCCACCGGCACAACTCCAGGGTGCTCATCTCACCCCAAACCTGAGCCCAGGGGTGCCCCCCATCCTCATTCCCGCCCGACTCCTGCCATTCCCAGCTTTCCCTTGGTCCACATGGCACCAGCCCTAGCTGCTTGGCCGGATGTTCCGCTCAAAAGCGCAGCTAATTAAGGGCAATTAGCAGGTCCCTTGGCTTTTTCCGGCCCTAATTAACCCCCAGCAGATGGACAGACAGGCGGCAAACCCCTTTTCTTCCCCCAAAATCCCATTTCCCCCCCTTCCAAAATCCCATTTCTCCCACAAAACCACCGAGTGCCGGAGCCTCTGCCCCAAAATGGCGGGTCTGGGATTGACGCCCCATCCCTGTCTTCCTTCCAGCCATTCTCGACTGTGGAGGAGCCACCTGGATGCCTCGAGGTGAGAATGGGGGGGACGAACACCTCGGGAATCCCACCATGGCTCCGGGAGCGCAGCGGATGCTCCAGTTGCATCATCCGGAAGAGGCACCGGGGGGTCCCGGATCAGCCCCGCGACCTTCCCTTCATCCCCCCCGCTCCCAGCCCTTGTCCCACTTTGTGAGACATCCCGGAAAAGGGCTTTTCCATCATTCTCGTGGTGGAAAACCTACCGGGAAGGGAAGGGAAGCCCCCTAATTCTGGTGTTTTCCTGCAGATCCCGGCCTGCGGCTCGTCGGTGGCGGATGCCGCTGTACCGGGATACTGGAGGTGGACTGGGAAAGCCGTTGGAGACGCGTGTGCCGGGGTAATGTGAGACGGTCCAACCTGGATGAAATCTGCCGACGGATGGGCTGCGGCCCCCCCAGCTCTGAGCCCTTCCAGCTCGTCATTCCCGGCGGGAAGGAGCCACGTGCGCAGCCTGTGAGGTGCAGGAATCCGGAGGGAGCGCTGGTGGAATGCCACTGGAAGCTGGAAAACTGCACGGAGCACGTTATTGTCTCCTGCAAAGGTGAGCCTGGACCCCCCACTCCGCTCACCTCAATCCCTAGGGATCATCCAGGCTGATGGGGCTCCTTCTCTTCTCATTCCAGAGCCAGAGAAAACCACTCCCAAGCCCCCACCGGCACCTCCGGACACCACTCCGGAGCCCACCGGTAAGACCCCGATCCCGAGGGATCCAACACCTCCACCCAGCCCAGGGATCCAAGCACACCATTTTGAGGGATCTAAGCACCCCATCCAGAAGGACCTAAGGTCCCCATCCCAAGGGATCTAAGCACCCCATCCTGGGGGATCTAAGACCTCCATCCCAAAGGATCCAAGACCTCCATCCCGGGGGATCTAAGCGTCCCATCCCAGGGGATGTGAGACCCCCCTTCCAACTGATCTAAGGCCCCCATCCGGGGGGATCCTGCACCGATTAAACTCCAGATTTAGGGACTTTCTCCTCAAGAATGGAAAGGAATGTCATCCCAATCCCTGGAATGTCATCCCAATCCATAACACACTGCTATTCCCCCACTCCCTCTCCAGGACCACCCAGGCTGCGGCTGGTGGACGGGAATTTCAGCTGCTCCGGGTTCCTGGAGCTGCACAAGGGGGGGCTGTGGGGGGCCGTGGCCAGGATGCCCCCGCACATCTGGGCACATCTGGGCACCCGCATCTGCCGGGACCTGCGCTGCGGCACCGCCGGGCACGGACGCCGGGAGCCAGAGCCCGGGACCCACCTGCCGGTGAGGTGGGAAGTGCTGGAGCCCTGTGAGAGCCATTCCCTCCTGGAATGCTTCAACAGGACCAGCTCCCGGGGGAAAACTCCTGCCTTCGTCACCTGCTCAGGTGAGAGCACACTCGGAGCATCCAGGCCTTTCTGGGGGGATATCCCGGGGGAATTCCGGGTTCCTGCCCAGAGCTCCATCCGCCCACTCCTGCTCTTCCTCTCCGGGGTGCGAAGGCAAAACAGGAAATCTCAGTTGCTGGCGGTGCCGGAAGAGGATGAGCCGGGGAGGGAGAGGGGCCGTGGCAGTGTCCCAAATTCCGAATGGGAGCAAGGAACCCATGGATCAGCCCCTCTGGGTGCTGCCTGGGAGAGTATTCCATACCTTGGGCATCCCCCAGCCGTGGGCATCTCCCAGACCTGGGCCCCTCCCTGCCCTTTTCCATGGAGATCCAAGGCCTGGGTCTCGGAGCAATCCTGCCATCTGCCCCAGCTCAGAAGCCATCCCGTGGGATTCGGGGGTTTATTGGGCTGTCCCACAGCAGCTGGCAGAGCTTCCATGCTGCATTCCCATGGGAATAGTTCAAAGCTCCTCAAAGCTTGGCTCTGCTTTGGCTCACACACATCCCCCGCTCCCTATGGCACAAGGCGGAATGCCGGGACCATCCCTGTGCCAGGAGCATCCCTGTGCCGGGGGAAGGAGCATGTGCCAGCAGCCAGCCACGAGGCATCCCATGGACCTTATCCCTCTCTGCCCATGGATCTGTGGATCTGATCCCTCTCCATGGGTCTGGTTCCTTCCCATGGATCTGATTCCCCTCTCCCCATGGATCTGACCCCTCTCTATGGATCTGACAGACCTGTCCCATTACCCCGAGACCTGTCCTGATATCCCTAAGCCTATCCCATGGTCCCCAAGATATTCCCATTATCCCAGATCTCTCCCATTGCCCCCAAGTCTGTCCCATTATCCCCAAACCTGTCCCATTATCCCCAGACTTGTCCCATTATCCTCAAGACCATCCCATTATCTCCAAGCCTGTCCCATTATCCCAAAGCCTATCCCATTATCCCAGAGCTGTCCTGTTATCCCCACGGCCGTTCCCGCTCTGTCCCCAGATTCCGAGCCGCGGGTGCAGCGGAGGCTGGGCTCCGGCCCCACCCCGTGTGAGGGGGACATCCAGGTTTTCCACGGGGGCCAGTGGCTGTTGCTGTGTGACAATGGAGCGCGGCGTTCCCAGCGCGGTCGCCAGCTCTGCCGGGAGCTGCGCTGCGGGAATCTCACCTCCAGCGCCGAGATCCGGGAGCCCCCTTCCACGGGAGTCACCTGTGGGATCGACCCCCTGCACCTCTGCCACGGGAACCTCGGGAGCCCCCGGAGCTGCTCCCGGACCAGAGTCGTGTGTAAGGAAGGCACCGTTCCAGGCGTGATCCATGGGGTGCTGGGAGCTGGAATTCCCAGCCCTGTGGAACAGGCAGGGATGGGGACGCCATGCCGGGTGGGATTCGGGCTCCCGGTGGGTTTTCACATCCCTGGGCACAAGGGTCTCATCCGGTGCCATCCGTCCTCTTCCCAGGCCAGGACTCCAAGCCAGTTCCCAGCGGCACATCCGCCGGCACCGTCGTGAGCATCTGCCTGGCCCTGCTGCTCTTCTTTGTCCTCCTCCTCGTCTGCGGCCCCCCCGCCTGCAGGAGGCTCCGCAAGAGGAGTAGGTGACCCTCTGGATTCTCACCCCACACCTGTTCCCAGACTTGTCCCATTGTCCCCAAGCCTGTGCCGTTGTCCACACACCTGTCCCGTTATTCCCAGGCTTCTCCCATTGTCCTCAGACCAGTCCCATTATCTCCAAGCCCGTCCCATTGTCCCCAAGCTTCTCCCACTGTTTCTAGACCTCTACCATTATCCCCAGAGCTGTCCTATTATTCCCAGACCTCTCCCATTGTCCCCAAGCCTGTCCCATTATTCCCAGACCTGTCCCATTGTCCCCAAGCCTGTCCCATTGT